AGCCACAGCAGAAGTTCTTCAAACGAAACTTAACTGCTGCTTAAACTTCAACCCGGGCACCGGTGGCTGCTCAAGCTGCCTGAATTCTTGGAGCTTCTCCCAGCCCCGAGAAGCAATCTGCTGGCAAGTTCCTAGCAGACTTGCACCTCCGTTGGCTATGCCTGCAATGGCATTTGCGATACTTCCAGCATCGCTCCCGCAGATTCCCATCTGCACAGTGTCACCGCAGCGCTGGGCCGCACCAGACAAATACGACACGACGTTAGCGATGGCCGCAATGATTAGTGTAACAGTGGCAGCGCAGCTGGCCTTGTTCAGGGCATCCGTCGTGTTGGTACAGCCGAACCGTGCAGCCACGTCGATGAACACACCAGCCTACAGGGGTCTCCATGCGCCGAGCCACATTGTTTCGCTTATAGCTATTGCTTTAGACACTGTAGACAGGAGATTGGCATGTGATGTGATCTTGATGTTGTTCTGAGACAAAAAAGGTTTATGTGATTGTCGAAGTTGAGTTTGATCATCGTGGTGACGACATCACTGCATGGCCGTTCTTGCGCTGCTCTTCTGCCTCCTCTACATATCCTCCCCAGTCCCTTCCATCACACAGCGTGATCTTAGTAGTTGTCACCGTTCTGATGGTATAGCTGTGGGGCCTTTGATTTTGCACTTGCGTTCACTGTCATGTTTACTTTCATCCCCAAGACCATATTTCACCCTAAACTGTAAGCCCCATTGTCATTACCATCATCATGGTCGTTATGGTCGGAATCACCATCGTCGTCCTCATCATCATCGTCATGATCAGCCTTATTCTGCTGCTGTGTTTTGCTGCCTTGCAGATATTGCTGTATGCGCAGAGTGCGGGGTCGTGCAAAGGAACCGGGTCACCAGACTTGTGGAGAATTCACTAGCATTTTCTGGCAAGGCTTCTGGCCGATGCCTGCGCGAAGTACACTGCGGCCTGCGAGACGTGCACTTGACACCAGGCCGCATCCAGCTTCTCTTCGGGAGACCCCAGTCCCGGTGCCAACTGCCGAAACGGAATCGGCGATTGTGGCGCAGGGGACGTGAAGTCGCTGAAGCGCTTGGACCAGCCACGATCTCTCAGCAGTCGCCTTGAGGAGTTCAGAACTGCCTGGGCCTGGGCCGGTTGGCAACCGCTCACCGTATCCAGCCCGGCTTCCAGCGCCTCGAAGATGTTCCCCGGGAAGCTGAGTACCACTGAGGCACAGTCGGCCGGCAGATCCGTGACATTGCTGCATTGGGTGACCAGGCCAGCAATCCAGCTGCCTGTGTTAACGAAGGACTGGAGAATCCCGAAGATATTTCCTGCGCACCCGATGCGCTCGTCGGCTGTATCGGTTTTCTCGCAGCCCATGGTGGCACCGTAGATCTCCACGAGCGCCTCCGAAACCCCGCAGACCCTGTGTACCCTCAGCGACCCCTCGGTCACAGTCCTTCCGCTGCTCTGTTGCAGGATATTTCCAAAAACATTACAGTATGTCCTGCTGCTAGAACATCCGCGTCCCGAAGCAGTACGGAGCCCTGGAATGAAAACAGCTATTTTGCAACGCCTGATCCAGGTAGAAAATGGAGGCCAGCACATTCCTTATCTCAGTGGCTGCTGGGATCTCAGACACTGAGCGCTGCGGCAACCTCTGACAATGACATGCCCTATACAAACCAAATCCTTGAACATGTAAGATTCAGATAGTGTCTGGGCCTGCAAGGCAAGAACTTACAAAGCTTGCAAAGTTGGACTCCTGCCCTCGTGCCCTGTCTGATGGTAGCGAAGGCGCACCGCGCAAATGGCCTGATTGGAGGCTTCCGTTGCAAGAGGGGCGTTGGCGCTCCTGGCGTCTGACAACATGACAATCGGAGGCGGCAACCGAAGTCAGTGACATGACAAGAAACGAATCATATCTATAGGGTTTGGGGGTTTAGGGGAGGCCAAGCAGAAGACGGAAGCCACTTGTAATGCTTCCAAAATGAGCCCAAAAAGCCTAGGAAACTGAACCACAAAGGCATCTGCTGCATTCGTATCGGAACAGAATACACCAGAGTCCCCAAAACACAGACAGTCCTGTGAATCAAATGCCCAACTATAGGGTTGGTTCACTGGCCAGGAGGTCAGAGCTTGAGATTGGAAACGTGTGGGTCTCTGTGTGGGTCTGTGTGTGTGTGTGTTTTTGAATAGGGCAGTTCAAGACGCTGGGTCACCCTGCGAGAACACGGCTCTGTTTCTCCTGCTCGATTGTTTCAGCTCGGCCTGCAATGCCTCGGCTTGAAAGAGGAGCCGCTCGACTTGGCCGACGGCCTCGTGGGCGCTCGGAAGTACCATGGATTCTGCGTCTGCGATATCCTTCTGCTCCAGCCAGAAGGAGCGCATGAGATTACGTTCAGGTGTCAAGACGGCTTGCAAGGCCGACAAAACCTCAAGGCGCGACAGGCGAAGAGCCTTCAATGACTTCATGAAGGAAGTGAGATCCTTCTCCAGGGACTCGTCCGGCCTTTTCCCACGACGCCGTAAGCTCTCCAGCCGGATGCTGGCCCGCACGACGGGGTTGTCAGAGCTGCCGCTGCCGTCCAACACCTTCCAAAGGGTCGGGGAAGGCTCAGCGGCAGCGTAGCAGGTCGACCAACCACCGGTCGGAGGCTCGACTTCCTCCATGTCTTCGATGCTCTGATACCACGGTGGCCGGCCAGGTCCTCCAGGCCAGGATCCGTCGCAAAGCTTCCAGAAGAGGTCGAAATAAATCGCCCCTGGACCCCCTTGCTGCACGTAGGAGCGCTTGCCATTACGGTCACCCACGAATTCATAGATGCCGTCCATATCGGACATCCCGGCGCCCTCGACCTGAATATCACCCACCTCTCCACCTGAGGCTTTCGGAGCGAAGGCAGCCAGCAGCCAATTTCGGATCTGCTTTGAGATCTCGGGATCCCGATCCCAAAGAACGTATTGCAAGCAAAGCAAGTCTAGCTCGCTCACACTTTGACCCCCTGCTGCGAAGGCGACGATCTGGACGAGCTGTGCGGCCTTCGCCAAGCGCCGGTCCGAGATGTGCACGGGACCACCGCTCACTTCTTCCTGCAAAAACTTCCGCAGGCGCGCCAACATCTGCAGCAGCCGCGGCGGGAAAACCACGCGCGACGCGGCCGCTCTGACCTCGCGGCCCAAAGCTGGGCCGAGTCTTATCGTGGGAGGCTCTAGATCTGCCTGCTCCGCAGTTGGGGCAGTTGCGGCAGCCAGCAGCGCACGTGCCTGTGCATCGGAGACAGAGTTCACGAAGCGCTTTAAGAGGAAACGGTCGAAGATGGCGTCAAGCTCCCCCTCAGCGGGTATCTCATTGGAGGCTCCCACAACACACCAGAGCGGAGCCTCACAGCGCTCTCCACCATTGTCGTAGACTCGCTCGTTCAGAAGTGTGAGGAGCGTGTTGAGGATGGCCGAGTTGGCCTTAAAAACTTCGTCCAGAAAGGCCACCTCGGCATCAGGTAGGTAGCGGGCCACCCTTCTTTCGAGCCGATCCTCTTGCAACGCAGTGAGCGAGAGCGGGCCGAAGACCTCATCAGGCGTAGAGAAGCGTGTGAGCAGCCTCTCAAAGTAACGGGCGGAGCCTAAGGTCGCCAGGCGTCGACAAAGCAAGCTCTTTGCGGTCCCCGGCGGGCCGATCAACAGTAGGTGTTCTCCCGCCAAAGCTGCCAAAAGAAGCAGCTTCGCCTCGAGTGCACGATCAACCAGGCCGGAAGAGAGGAAGCTCCGCGCAGGCTCAAGCACCTCTAGCAAAGTCCGCTGCAGCTCCCGATCAGAGCTCGCCAAGGCCGTCGTGCCGCCGGTCGCGGTTGGACTTGGGCTCGAATTCGCACAGGCCACCTTCCGTTCTGATCCGCAGCGCTGCCTCTTGTCGCGAACACAGAGGCTGAAGAAAGCTGCGGCCCCGACAAAGGGCATCAAGGCATTCGAGGGCTTCAGCAGGCTGCAGGCACAACCGCCTTGCCTGTCCAGCCCTGCACGCACTTGGCCCAGGCGTTCCGAGTAGGTCGGGGGCCCAAAGGGCATGTAGCATGTATGAGAGATGAACATGGCGGGTTTACACCCCTAGAAGAGACAAACTTTGCCAACAAATTCCCCTGGCTGATTTCCCATGCAAGACGAGAGCAGCTGCACCAGACTTGACTTCAGCTTCTGCGCGGGTTTGAGCACGCTGCAGGGAGCACAAGCATTTGGTAGCCCATGTAGCCCTGAATCCCCAACCTGCAACCTGAAACAGAACTGCGCAAGGCATTGCCAAGCAGTCCCTGTCGGCGTCGGCACGGGTGGCCCGGGCGGCGGCGGCGGGACCGTCGGGACGCCAAGAAAGAAGCTCGGGCCCGGCAGCTGCCTCTCCTGACGAATCGATTGAAAACGGGAGGCTCTGGCTTTCACAGATAGCTGGGTTGCAAGCTGGATTCGTGGTGTGACTCTGGTCTGGAGCGCAAGGGGTTGAGAAGCTGCCGGACCGATCGTGCCTCCTCATGCGCGTGGGAATGGCGCAGAAGCCAGAAAGTCAGCAGCAGTCCCAAGTGGCGCATAGCGACGCGGCGCTCTTGAGTTCCTCGATCTAGACAAACTTAAACCCTGTAGGGCTTCGATTTTTTGAGGGCTTTCCAAGATGTCTTCTCTGAAGGGTGCATCGAAGCTCTTTATATAGGGTGCACGAGTATACCATTGCAGACCGTGAGTTGCTTGCTTGTGCCACCGCTTGACAAAACAGCTGAACCGGGTGGAGCGACGTTCAGCCAAACGCGCATGCCGCTGCTTTGGCGATGACTTGAGCACTGCATCTACGAGAGGTTTTTGCACACAAGCTCTGTGCATGCAGAATTCGCAGGAGAAAGTCTTTGATGTGAGGATATGGGTAGTTCCGGCTCAAGGTGCTCGGTTTTCTGTGGTCACAAAAGGTTCTCGCGATGTTTGTGGCAGGTCTGTGGCCTCCTCCTCCAGCAGAAGGGTGTCAGCGCGAGTTGGCCGCTACCTGAAGGCAACTCGTGGGGGTTCGGGGACGTGGTCGAAATCAATGCTGAAGAGCCGCTTTCTTTCTACGAGTGTTCGTAAGCTCACTCAGGGCCTTCGTACACTCCTAAGGTCTTAGGCTGAGGACTGAGATCAAGGAGAGACCTCCGATTCAGAATCGACGAGAGGCGAACACGTTGAATCAACTGTGAAGATTCACCGCTACGTATTGGTTAAAGCCTCTGGATCTTGGCCCGAATTCGGCTTGGCTTTTGGCGCGCGGCTCCCCTTAGTTTGATCTGGCTGTGTCGCTCTACTTCTTCTGCGACAAGCTCGCCAATGCCTTCGTTGCCTGAAGCTCTCAACATCCAGAGGCTTGCATTGCATCTGTGTGGTCTCGTCACAAAGAACCCCATACCTGTCGAAACCAATTCTCGACGGAGCCCACCCAACAAGATCCGGCCGTCCGAAGCACCAGGTGGGCACGTCCTGCCGATGAGCAGCTTCGGTTCTTCGGCGGTCTGATTAACGTAATATAGAAGAAGCCTAAATCGTTACCAATATTATTCGCTAGGGTTCCTCATTCTAATTTACCATAATCATATGCCCCGAAACCCTGGTTTAATCATAAAGGCTCCTATGCAAGTAGGTTTAGGGTTCAGGCAAGTGATTGGAGGAAGCTCAGTCCAGATTGGGATGCGACAACTCTATGCTGCAAAGCCCTAGTTTCGGGTGGCCTTTGTGAGATTCACGGCTACTGCGAAGCAAAGGCGACATCAAGGTACAACAGCGAGACGGCCCATGTATGCCTGCATGCACATTCATGAACGCATGCCTGTACATGTACGACAATGTGACACGAGGGAAAACAAGATATTCCATACATGCATGCGCACGGTGATAAGCATGAGGAATAACCATCACCGTGGACACCGCTGAAATATCGACAAATCCTGCTTTCCGCGGCCCTGCACATCAGAATGATGCTCGAAATGCTACCAGCATTTGTACTGAGTGTGTCAAAGCCACTCGCAATGACCTGTGAGGGCTGAAGAGCGAGCCTCCCAAACGATCTTCGCTTTGCGAACGCTGGAGAGAACGGTCTTTGGCCCTGCCAGGCACAGCTCAAGGGAAGGCCTTCAGAGGGGCTCAGGATTCCGCCACCAAGAGGCTTTCCTGTTGAGGGCCCTTGTTGCGACAGCACCACAAGTTACAAACTCAGTGTCTGAACATCGACCCAGCCGGAGACCCTCCGGCCTTGCAATGTGCTCCTCAATGCAGCGCATGTGGCCCTGCTGCAGCTGGCAGTTTCACACTTTGCGAAGCCTAGTGGGAGTTCAGGTAGGTGGTTTCTGCTGCCACTCGAAGCCCTAAACCCTAAGCTCTTCTCTGGCCTTGACTCTTTTCCTTGGGGGGGGTTAGCGTGCCTAGGTTACACGTGTCGTGCATGGCCTCAGAATGCGACAGCGAAGCTTGGGCCCCCGAATCAAGGTAGACCAAACCGTTAGTAGTTGTTCACGGAAGAACATCACGCTTGGTGGGCGATGGTTTGGCAAGCCCCAAGGCTTCAGCTGAAGCAGCGTATGCAGCCACAAAGCCAGACATCAAACACCATGAGCAATCATCAGCATCACCACCCTCTGCAGTGCCACCATACTGACCATCACTATCACCGTGGAGTCCATAGCTGCCATCAGCAACATCACGACAAGCAGGAAAACCCTTCAACATCATTTCAACCACTACAGCGATGACCAGCTGAACAAGTAGGATGAGGCTTTTAAAAGCGTATCGCCGCTCGAGGTTTATTTGTATATATATATATATATGTATGTATGTATGTATATATATATATATATATATATGATACGGTATAAGGCATGCAGAGGGCACCATGGCCTGGCTTTCCATGACTTCCGATTCCCGAAGCTTCGGGTTCAGGGGTTGTTCCCTGAGGCTTGACCGTATTTGGGGCTCTGTTCGGAGCTTGGTAGAACTGAGGGCTTGCTTCATTGTTATGGTATTATTGTACTATAGTATCATATAGGATCATTATGGTATCATTATAGCCTATTGTTATTATAGTAGTAGGATACTATTAGCATGTTGAGGTCACGTGTTGAACTTGGAGCTCCAACTTAAACACACGCCTCCAGGCGAGGCCGCAAGAAGGGCCGGTCACCTGCCAAGTATCCCTGCCTTTTGTGAACAAGATTGCGGTTCTGGGGTCCGTGGTATTCACAGGAATAGCTGGATTTACTGAATCCGGTTTATGCCAAATCTGCAGGTCCGCATTGCTGTCCACGTCGGTGTGCCTGCGGGCTGCCTCCCGACGGCCTGGCCAGGGCAATCTTCTCTCAAAGCTTTTTGGTATACATAATTGCCACGATGCAAGCAAGCAATCAGCCAGAGAATTTCCATCAAGAGCTTGCCCAGTATCACAACCCTCCTCTTCGCCTGTGTCGACATTTACCAAAGCGGACCAAACCCAGGACTTCTCGGCCAGCCTCGAGAATCCGTTCGTGCCTTGCCTGGGTGATCCGGGGCCGAAAGTTCTTCGAGGCGGTTGGCACTTTTATGCCAGATCGGAAGCAGATGTGGGAAGGATGCAAGCTCTACTGTGGGAGTTCTTGCTTGTTGACGCATGCCATGAGTGCTGCCTGCTGCCAAACTATATGCTGTTGCACGGCATTACACGTAGCAGCCACAACGAGTAATATACGAGCGCGTGCAGCAGGGGAAGGAAGCATGCGCGCACCAAACATGGACACCCCTGCGGGAAGGCATGACGCCGATTTCCGCAACACCGAAAGCCGCAACATTGTCGCCGCAGTGGCGACAGTGTGTTCGAGAACACGGTGCTTGTAATGTAGCTTTAGATCAGCATGCCAGGAGGGTGAGATGCATCAAGCGACATCAATGCGACCATATGTGTTGTTGTCCTCCTCCTCCTCCTCCTCTCCCTCGCAAGGAAGCTGTCAACCGTGGGTTGTGCCAGTAAGTGTGTTGCAGTTATTCGGATTGATAGGGCCTCCCTAGGGTTGAAATTCACCGGCTGCTTCCAAGCCACCCGTCTCTCGGCTGCATCGATGACGGCATTTGCACTGGAAGCCTTGCAGGACTCGTGATTTTCAACTATATATTCTGGCTTCTCGGGCTTCTTCGACTCATCGTGGGCAGCGTGGGCCAGGACTCAGAATGCGAGACGCTGACTGAAGTTTGCAGCTGTTCCAAGGACGGAGGTCTCAAGGCCCCTCTGATTGGATGCAAAGGGGAGCCCTGTAAAACATTGTAAAACCTCACGGATCAACCAGTATCGCCCAAAACCCGAATCTCTTCTGACATGATGCCCAAACCACAGGCACGACATCCTGAACCCCAAACCCTGAACCGTTGAAACCCTGAACCCGGAGACCCTAAATATCCCTACACCCCCAAGCCACAAGCATGACGAAACCTCCGCCAGCCGACGGATGCGCTCCGACTCCCGGCCAGGAGAAGCCGCTCCTGCAATCGGGGCCTCTTGGGACTCTATGGGACTTTTGCACCTACAGACGGGAGACGGAGACTGGAAGTCTGAAAGCAGGCATGCTCATAAACTCGGTGCAGTAGACGCGAATAGGTGGACACCTGGCAAACACTCAAATCAGGCAGCAGGCAACCGAACACCGTACACAAGTCCATACTCCAGATTCCGGCCGTCTTGCCTACTCGCAGTATTTATCAAATGCTCCACACGGGAAAGCCGGATTCTTGAGCCTGGGAGGAAGATTGGAAGTCCAAGAAATCGCAGGGATGCGCCTGTGACTTCCCGAAGACGAGTGTGTTGCCTGCAGTCAAGCACTTCGAAAGTCCGTTGCCCTGCCTGGGTCACCCACCATACATGTCTGGCTATGGCAGCATGTAACGACATAAGGTAAAGGGTGCTTACAAGCATAGGCATAACTAGCGACATGGTGTAGCCATCGACACCTTGCGCGCTCTGCATGCATACGCACAACCATACGTATGTCTTTGCCCATGTACACATACACATGTATTGATGCATGTATGGCAGATAGGTACATCGAGGGTAGAGTTTGGGGGTTGGATGGGCTTGGCTTTGCATGCGGATGGGACAGGAATCAGGTCGTACAAGTAGATGTTATTGTGCAGCTACCAGTAGCCAGCTTGTCACGCTTGGCACACTCATACATCTCCCAGACTGGCAAAGACGAGTGCCTCAGCAGTTCTTTGGCCTTGGCAGTGCGCTCCTTCATTGTGTTGACCTGCCGTGCTTGCAAGAGCAGAATGACAAGTATATGGTTGAGACCACGACAGTTCTTCTACCAGGTGCCGAAGGGTCTGTTTTAGCTCGGACGGAGGACAGGCTCAGACTTCAAAGCAATCCAATTCGTGCTGGTTGAGAGAGACTTGGGTTCATCTTGAGTATCTAATCAACACATAACCTGCTGAAACTGGCCAAGTCCGCTTCACAATTCAATCATGCTTGCATTATTGCCCTTCCTTCCTGCTGTCTTGTACCTCCTAATGGCTACGACTTTATTAGATTCCATGTCCGACTCATCTACATTAGGCAGTCGAGTTGTGCTCCGTATATGCATACATGTACACATGCATGAACATAGACGCACATATAGACATATGCATCCACATCTACATGTGCCTGTACACCTTCATGTAGGTACCACGCACATGCAACATTTATACATCTCTTGCATACACGAATACACACATAACTGCACACTCGCATGCATGTGTACATGCCTTCATTCATGCATACCTACATACATGCATAGTATACATGCCATTTTTGCATACACGCACGCACAAGTTTTGTGACAGGCAAGAAAATCCGTTCCGTCCCATCCCAGCCACCGCATGGCCTCGTCTGTTAGCCGGTCGAGCTCTTTGTCCCGTTCCTCACGCGCCGCCTCCTCCTTTGCAGCCTGCAGGAATGGAAACGAAGACTCGGGCTGAGCAGAGTCAGACTTGGACCTCGTTCGCCCTAATCGCCCGAATCATCTGTAGCTGCTCGCCTCGGCCTCGAGCTCCTTCTTCAGCGCCACGGCCCGGAGCGCCACCTTTCTAGCCAAAGGGCCTAAGGACGCTCATGGCCCAAGTCTTAACATGTTGGGGGTAGCAAGGGTTGGTGCTCGCCGGAAAGGTCCCGTGACTCACACTCGCAGCTGCACGGCATTTTGGTGCCAGGCTGGCTCTGTCCTAGCGCAGTCTGCCTCTTGCAAATGCGCAATGCCGGCCGGCTTGAGGCCTATGTACATGAGCCCACACATGCAGTGGGGACTTCTTAGCATGATGCTACCTGTACGTGGTGGAGGTGCCCCAACGATCAAACCCGCTTGACCCCAATACCCCAAACCCTAAAATGTTAGTAAGGCCCGTTTCTTCAGCAACCAAACCCGGACACCCCTCTCGGGACTCAGTCAAGCTGGCAGATGCTTGGACAGCAAGTCGGGCCTGATGCAAGCAGGCCTTACAGCTGCTTACTTCACGACTTGCCCCTGACAGTATCCATCGTTCATGCTTTCACAAAGTTCTAGGATGGTTTCGACTCAATTTCTTCTGAACAGAGCCGAACCCTGCTTCATTACGTGGAATCCGCGATCGTCACAAGTAATTATATCGAACGCATGATCCAAATAACTTAGTTAGGATATCCATCGTCTCCGTTTGCTGACGAAGGAAACGACAGCGAGCATCGACACGATTCGTTTTTGGTGGCTTAACGTTGAAGCGACGAGCAGTCATGATGCTTGGCTACGTCTACTCGTGCTTGAATTGCCGGTCAAGATGATTACTCCCTTCAATAGCTAGGGCTTCCTGTTAATGTCCAAGTCTGAGACAACACCTATGATCCCCAGCACAGTAAGCTCAAAACTCAGGCTGGACTCAGCAAGGTGGGCTTGGGAGTTCAGGCCTAGGGACCGCTCGGACCGCGACAAACGATACCTTTCAACCATGAACCGGTGTTCTGTTAGTCGGCCGTTCAGAAGCTTGCTTGGGCATGCTTGGAGGTTGACTTTTTTGCTGCATGCTTGCACGCATGGACGCCTGGAGCACAAGTAGCAAATAAACCCTAAGACCGTACCACTATCACTTGTCCGACTTAGTCCATGCACCACGCCAGGGAAGCTTAAGTTTCGACTTCCTAGCAACCCTGAACAGAAATTGTCTGCAGCCCTGTTTCATGCGACTTCGAACCTTCGTCCTGACTGAGGGTTGAGAGTCTCATTGTCACCAGGATGCTTAAGTTTCTTGTACTTTACATATTACAGCATAGTACAATATGCTATATTAGCATAGTACAGTCTAGTACCTAACCTAGGTATGTATCCTGCTCCAAAGTTGAAACGTTCATCTTCGAAGCCCACGCCTGTAGTTGCCTCGCGGGTTCGTGGAATGGGCTTCGGAGCGCTGCGGAGCACCTGACGGGGGGCGATACGTGTTTCAGGTGGGAATCGAACTTTTAGGGATCCAGATCTGAGCACTCCCCAAGTACAATGTACAGTGGTTGTTTTTGGAGAGAGCTGGAAATTGGCGCTGATGTTGGGCTAGTTGCTTAGCTTAGCCTCGGGCACGTTGGAAGTGCTTCTTCTGATAACTTCAAGGCTTCCGCGCGCGCGCATGCACCAAGCTGCACGGAAGCATCCCTCGACCTTGCCTGAGCCTGGTCAAGCTACGACACCCACGAAGATTGAACAATTCAAGTATGCTGACTAAGATCCCAAACCCCGAAAGTGCTCTTTCTTGTCCGAGCCTTGGTGATGCTCGTTCGCAACACTTCCTCCCAGGAGTGCTGCAGGTCGCATGCTCGCCTAGTTGATGCATGCGTCAAAGCTGAGATGAGCAAACCCAAATGCAAAGTAGGCTTGGATGTTGGCACACCCCTGCTTTTCGGATGGGGTCCTGCTGCACCATGCTTTGCTGCAGGAGGTTCAGGGAAGCGACCTTGGCTGCAGTCGGCCACGGCTGGGTCACCAGCCGGGCTTAGGGTCTGAAAGCGAAAGCGAACGGCGGTTGTAGACGGTCGCTGCGACTCGAAAGTCACGCATGGAAGTATGCAACCATGGGAGCCACATCGGCCCACTTGGCCATGGCAGCTTAGGTTTAGTCCATCCATCCATCTAGCCAGCCTGCCATGAATCCGTGGCCATCCCCTGCGCGCCCGAGGATTGCCGCCGTCAGGAACAAGGGCACGGACAAAACGGAAACGCGGTGCACCGCCGTGCGATGACCCCTGATCCGGGAAGCCCTCCGAGGTCCTTTCAGGATCTTTCGGGAGAGGAAACTGATTTTCTGCAGGAGCCCGCGAGGTGCCGTCATCGTTGCTGCATTCAGGCTTAGAGTTCCGCGGACTGACCGTGCTAATAAGCCCTCAATCCCGCACCTGTTGATCCCTTCTGGCTGCCACATGGCTCTGGATGCTGGCAGGTTGCCTGCGCAGCTGAATTGTCCCGCAAAGACAGGACCTGCCCATGCGGCTTGCAGGAGACACGTGCACCAACTTGTGGGCCTCTCGACAAGAATGTCTAGTTGGCGTCTTGCCGTGCGACTTCTCAACTCAAGGAGGAACGCAGGACGCAGGATCTGCCCTGGACAAGACCAGGAAGGCGATTATCTTTGTTAGTATTGTTTCTTCTTCTCATCATTTTGTAATTTTTATTAGTTAATACGTATTAATATTTCTGATTATCTTCATCTTCATTTGCTACTATTTTTCCCCTTTTTGAATTTTCTTTTTGCTATAATTAGGAGTATTGATCTGGACCGGGCCTTGCCCACCAGCGGGCGACCGCTGTCCTCGTGCACGAACTCAACGAGGGCGCCGGGGCTCAGCGAGTCCCAGAGAGCCCTGGGCAGCTGAAACGTGGGTTGCAGCATGTAGAATCTGAGGAACGTGACATGCTGTATAGCATGCCTATGTCAAGCATTGTAGGATATGTGCAAACGATCCGCGACAACTCGACGGCATGATGGGGGAAGACCAGTGAGGTCATGTAGAATTCGAAACGGAATTCAGGCCGGTCGGTTGGCCTCGCTGCCTCACCACCGTCTGTAGACCTGCCATCCTGCGACGAGTAGGTGTTGTGAGGTTGCCTCGAAGAGGCCAAACACTCGCCGCCGCTATCACCACATCACAGCAGCAGCATCACCGGCAACACATGGCAACACGGCTGCTGATCTGAAGAACCCAACCTCTTACTGTCAATGCCTCAGCCAGTTTGGTATCAAAAGACTTTGGGATGAATCGCAGTCAGTGGTGGGTTCGGGGGCTTGGCTGTAGTCTTCGGGGCACGCTGTGATTATAGACCTCACATGGTTGTTTCGGAATCTGGGCCAACAATTGGCGCTGTCATTCAAGCCCTACAAGTCGGAGGACCCCATCATAAGGACCCCGAACTTATGGGCAGCGCAAGATTCAAGCAAATTACGGAAACCTCCTAACTTCCCAAGGTCCTTGGACTCGAAGCCTCCCAACCAACGATTGAGCAGGGGTCGCAAAGCCCGGGCTGTAATGGTCTGCATGACCTTGAAGCTTGCAGGTGCAGTCTTTGGGACCCAAGAGCCTAAGCGCTAAACTCCTAAATCCTCAACCCCACATCCTTTCAGGGCTTCGAAGCTTTGGGTGCTTCAGCTCAAGCCATCTAATCCAAGCGTCTAGGTCGACTGCTGCGTAGTATGGCGTGTGGTTTCGGGTTCGGCGACATCCAAAGTCACGCACCGGGCCGCGCCACAGGGCCCAGTTGCCGGAAGGAAAATACTATCTCACTATCCCCAATTCCGTGCACTGTGCTTCCAACCATGTCCGGCTGCTTGAGCACCTCGTCAGGGATGTGCCTTGGCTGGGGTTTCGTGCTCATAGCGCTCCACACCACGAAAGGCGTGAACAGCGTGTCTGTGTGTACGCGCAGACACACGCACATGGTGACACATGTGGAGAGCTCCATTGTGGTCGTAGTCGTGCTTCCCCTGATGGTGCCTTCCTGATTGCCTTGCCTGCTCGTCGCCTCACGGGTGTGTGGTTGTTGCTGGTGAAGTGCTACTCAGAGTTTGAGCTGCTGTTCACACCGGCAAATTGCTCTCACATCAGTCACAGACCTCAGTCTACCATTGTGCCACTATACTGCACAAGGATTATGCTATGCTAGGCCATTCCAACCTCGTCCATCCCCTCTTGGGTGCGGGGCTCATTGCGCAGGAACATGTGCAGCTTCTCCGAGAAGTGATTGCAGTTGTGAGTCCTGGCTGGCTTTTGCACTCGTTCACCAGACCTCTGTCCAACTTACGGCCTCGAGGCTGAAATTGGGTACGCAGACTCTTAGACCCTGTATCAGGGACCACACCACCAGACCTGCTGAAGACAAGCCCTACAATGAAACCTCAGCACCGAACAGCCCCAAACCTGCGGCAGCAGCGGCCCCAATCCCGAATCCCCTCTCATCGCGAAGCGCAGACCTAGTAAACGCACAGCTTTGCCCTCGAGGTGGCCATGCTTGTTGAAGCCGACAGGTCGCATTAAGCCCCGAACACCTCAAGGGCCCCCTTAACAGTCCAACAACCCCGCACACCATACCACCATAACGCGCCATTAAACCGCTTAGGCCCGCGCAGCACGTCGTAGTTCTCGCGGGTGAACTCAGAAGCACAGTGCCTGGCCGTCGATCTTCCCAGTCCATTAGCAAAGCCCTATACTACAACCCAAGCAGCCCGGACCCCAAACGCCCCCCCAAAAAACCAAAAGAATTCGCAGCCCCGGCAAGCCTCAAAGCCCTTTCCCCCTGAACCTGCAGCCGACCCTCCCAATCGTACGGAGTCGGCGCCTGGTGAGGTACTCCCAAGTTTCTGCACGCCTCTTGTACGTGTAGCCCAAGAACCTTCGAGAAGCGACGACGAAATCAACTACAACATAAGACCAGTGCTAGCAGTAGCTAGCAATCTTGCTAAATGTTCATGATCTTAACCGTCTTAACAAGAAGAATATTAGCAGGATGAGAACCAAACCAGAAATAACTCCCAAACTCCAGGCTCACCTCTCATTGTTGGACCCTGGACTCTTGGGGCT